GAAAAACACAGGGGTTGCTGGATCAAGTGAGGCTGAAAATTATGCAGAAATATTACAATGGCTTGATGGTAAACCTCCATCATCAGTGGTTCTCGTGTGTTTTGGGACCATGGTGAGCTTTGATGAAGATCAGGTGGTGGAGATAGCAAATGCATTGGAGGAAAGTGCGGTTGGCTTCATATGGTCCCTTAGGCAGCCCCCACCAAAGGGTAAGTTCGAAGCGCCGAGAAACTACACCAACATCAAAGACGTCCTACCGGAGGGATTTCTCGACAGAACAGCAGATATTGGTAGAGTGATCGGATGGACGTCGCAGGTGGAGCTATTGGCACACCCCTCTATAGGAGGATTCGTATCACATTGTGGTTGGAACTCAATTATAGAAAGTGTATGGCATGGAGTGCCGATGGCGACATGGCCTATGCACGCCGAGCAACAATTCAATGCCTTTGAGATGGTGAAGGAATTGGAATTAGCTGTGGAGATCACATTAGAGTATAGAATTACTTTTGGTGAAGGTAAGCCGAGATTGGTGAGTGCAGAAGAGATAAAGAATGGGATCAGGACATTGATGGGAGAAGAAAGTAATGAGATAAGGAAGAAAGTGAAAGCAAAAAGTGAAGAGAGTAGGAAAAGTGCGAAGGAAGGTGGATCCTCATTTATCTCATTAGGGAAATTTATAGACAACGTTTTGGCCAACTCGCCAGGAGGAGGAAACTAAAGGATGCAGTTTCATATGCTTAAAATATATACATATATATTGTGTACCTCCATCACAGATGACTCTCTTCGCCTCAATGTGCATGCGCCCGACCTATCATATCGTTGATTAGCTCGACCCCGACTCGTGATACTCTTGGTTAGCTCGCCTTCCTTCTCCATTCCAAATTTGGTTCTATTTCCTGAAGGAGATTGCTCGAGGTAAGATTTTATGATATCAACAACTTTATTCCGTCAAAATAACAAACAAGAACAAAAACTATTTAAGATATTTCATACCAAGGTTCATTTAAAGTTCACATTCAAAATCAAACACACAAGCAAACTTTGAAGCTACACTCAAAGCAAAGTTTAGCTATAAAGATGAGAAGAATGTGTTTCATTTGTGAATATTACAGTGAAGAAATACTTACAGAGTTGTTAAAATTTATGATACTTTAAAGTTATAAGAAAAATAGTAAACATAACAATTTGAATAGTATAGTAAAATATATATAGATATATACACACATTAATATTGTATACATATAAGATTAAACACAGACTTCATAACTTCATATCAAACAACTCTACACTTCACATCAAGCTCTCTAAATGCAGACTAAACAACACAAGACTCATAGCGCTTCAAACGCTGTTTATTCTAATACTAGAATCCTTAAAGTCATATGTTCTAACAAATGCTTCAAATGATTTTGGGTGGGAAGATTGGTATGAGTTTTCAAGCCCATATGGCAAGTAAAGACATCAAAGCAGCTCCAAGAATAAGAGCAACATTGGCAAAGAATTGAAGCTTTGCATTGCTCTGCATTCTAAGGCTCATAAAATCAGCAGCCAGAAAATCCACAAGAGCCATATACATTAAGATACCAGCGGAGGCTGCATTCAGAATCCCCTCAACTATGAGTGCTTTTGGGCTATCTTCGTCGTAGCTGTTGGTTACTCCAATGCCTATTGCTATCCCAATTGGCGTTGTCAGGCAGAAGAAAACTGCCATTATCACCGCTGCCCTGGTTCTGAGCTTTGCCTGGGCGATGCATCCTCCTAGGCCCATACCTTCAAATAACTGATGAAAAGTGATGGCCGCCACAAGAGGTTTTATTGTACTTGGAGTTTCAGAAACACCCATACCAATCCCTATAATTACTGAATGTACCACAATTCCAAGCTCTAGTACCTGAGATATCACCCGGTGCCGGAGAATCTCCGTGGATGATCCGACGACTTTGGCAGAGCCATGAGCGTGACATGCAGGATGCATCCCTCCATCGCCGTCCGTCTCAGGCTGAGCCTTATTCAGATTAAGTCGAGTGAAATAAGAACTGGCACCAGCGTCCACCATCAAAGTCGCAATGGCAGCCACCATAGACACCAAGCCGGTGAACGGAAACTTCGCCCAAGGATTCTCTTTCAGTTTCGGCGACGTCAGATTCTCGTAGGCATCAGGAAGGACATGGATGAATCCGGTGGCCAATATGACACCAGCCGCGAAGGCTTTAACGACAAAGAAAATATCCTTGTCCGGACTCAACGCCGGCAAGGCCCTCCCGATTAAGGGAATAAACACCCCAAGGATTCCAGCGAGAAGAATCGTAGCTATGGCGACGATTTTGTATTTGAGGGCTAGGGTTTTGTTTCGAACGCCTCCGTCTTCTTCTTCTTCAGCACATTGGCAGCCTGCAGCAATCACTGAAGGAATAAAAAGAAGAAACAGAAAGAGAAAAGCTGGAAGAAGACGGTGAAGCTTGAAGTCCGCCATTGCCATGGTGAATCGGAGCAATTTCGAAACTGAGTGAAAGAAACGCAGACATTTTGGGATTTTAAAGAATGCAATTCGGAAAACAAATTGGCGGTGGAGAAATCATGTCGACATCAAAGTACATAACTGCCCAAAGCGTCGTTAGACTTAAGATTTTTCGAATGTGGACGTTCTGTAATTTTTTTACTTTCCAACTTTGCCCTCGGGGTTACTTGGATTTTAGTCCCCACATTTGGAAAGTCGAGATGATAGAAGGGAGAGAAGAGTAAATTAGGAATTTTAAATTTTATGTTTACACATAATTGAACAATAAAATAACGGCAATTATTTAACCAATTTTTAATTAAATTTAATATTTATTAAAAATAGAGAAACTAACACTAAAATGAAATGTTAACCCTATTTAAATCAACAAATAAATTTTAATATAGACCCTATAAATATTAATTGAGTGTTAAAGTTGTTAGCGGTGGACGCGATATATCAATGAAATGTTGAAGTAAACCTCGTTGACACCGGAAATATGCATGAAATGTTAACTATTTTTAATTTTGGATCTTCCAAATCATTCCCGAGGAGGTCTGGACCCGTTTTTTTTATTGATATTTCAATAAAAAGATTTATTCTCTTCCTAACAAATGGATGGTAGTACCAATAAATATTTGTTTCTCGATCCATCCCTGAAGTTGAATACCTCATTCAAGAATTGTTTTTGATCCAACAAGTTTCTTATCCCTTTCTCATTCTCCTCGGTCACTATTCTCGGCTTGTCCCCTTCAATCTTCTTCCGATAGTCTAACGTGATCTCCACTGCCAATCTCGACACCATATCAATAGAATGTTAAGCTGTTAGCTATAAGCGCGGTATCGATAGAATAACCGACACGTATGGAAGAGCAGATAGCAGGGTAGAAGCAATTAGAATAAAGCATAAGCCCTTTTTCTTCTTTTCTTTACACTCAAAGTTAGCAATTTGCCATCTCAATTTGGGAAGACAGTACTCATTATTTATTACTTAATAGACAAACCTGGCTCACATAAGCTTACTTTGATCACATGATCGACACATGGCACAATCTCGAGCTTGCCATTTAAAAAAATAAAAAAATAAAAAGAATAATATATATATATATATATATATATAATGTCAAACCAGATTCAACACTCTCATTTGACCTACAAACAAGAAACCCAAAAGTTCAAACTTCAGTTACAATGATTCAAGAAAACAAAAAAAAAAGGCCTTTCATGTTATTCAGTTCTACAAGCTTTTAAGGCCTTTCCTCTCCCAGCACTCAACAATTCTCTGGAATCTAATTGAGCTATTTGAGCGGTTTTTGTTAGATGAAAGTCCAACATCGGCTAAAGCAAAGCCATGAGAACTTATGCTTAAAGTGGACAATATCATACCATTGTGAAGAGTCGTGTTCATCTAGCATAGTATCAGAGTCGTGCCATTAGAATCCTCAAATGTCAAATAAAGTATTGAGCCTCGAAGGCATAGTCAAAAAGTGATTCAAGTATTGAACAAAGGGTGTACAGTGTTCAAAGACTCCAAAAAAAAAAAAAAAAAAAAAAAA